GTACTTTCAATTAAAGTATTCCCCTATTAAGAAGAGTAAGGAAGGTGATCTTACTTCCATTTTTGCTACAATATGCTACTTGGGCACTATCATATGTATGAAGGCTGCAGCTCTCATTTGGCCCTTGCTTAACCTTGGCACGCGATCTTGTGAATGTGTCATTGTGTCAACTTGAGGCGGAGAAAAATTATTTGGTAAAATCAGAGAACCGAAATGGCAATCCAATACTGAGCGCGCCGATTTCAATTACTCAATGCTCATTTCACCCAGCATTACATGTTGCACCTTAGCATGTCAACGGAGCGTGATGCCCATCAAGGAATAAGAAGAAGTCCCCGTATTTTGGATAGGGTTGTAGTTTGAAAGCATTATACTTTGTGGAGAGCACCTTCCAGAGTGTTTTCCATTGCAATCTACTGTACATCACATCCTCTCAGTGTCGGCGCACAAACCCAAAACGGCAACCAAATGAATCCCTCACATGTTTGGGGGGGGGGGGGGAGGTTGTCCCAGTCGCAAAATATCAACAGCTAGCATCGTACATCACCTCATTCGTAATAGAGGAAATCAGGAAACGTGCAGCAAAAGGCACAGTCACGATTCGCAAACCGCCTTTTATTCCCCCTCCAAGTACCTAGTCCCGTAGATAGTACTTATACATGTTTTGCCATCTACCAATGCGAAAGCGATGGGGGAAAACAATACAGCCTTGGAGGAACTCTCGCGCTCCGCATTTCATGATGGACGCTTCAAATCCCTGTATTTCGGGCAGCATGCAAGCGGCTTTGCAGTGAGCGATGCCATCGTTCCCATGCGGATACCACGGCAACTCTTGTCTCCTCGTTCATCCGGGAGATGGCGAGACGAGAGCGAATTAACTATTTTCCGTGAAAGTCGTCTACCCTCCCTTACGTGAGGCCGATCAGCTGATTCCATTTCGAAAAGGCACATTCTCGGATGATAATGAAGTTTTCTGCTGAAACCCCAAATATCTCAAAGCGTTTGGTCTGTGGAGCTGTGACAAACACACACACACACACACACAAACACACACACACAAACACACACACAAGCACACACACAAACACACACACACACACAAACACACACACACAAACACACACACAAGCACACACACAAACACACACACACACACACAAACACAAGCACAAACACACATTTGTCTCTCCGCCTACCTAGCAGTAAGGAACACGGACGCCATATGCTTATCCTCCTGAGATCGGTTGCTTCGCTTCCGAGGTCCTACGGCTTGAGTGAACAAGGTTTCCGCAATAGATTAGTGATAACGAATGAATCGCCGTCCTTGAGAGTCATTAGTGCCACAACAACTCGAGAAAGATCCCTTTTGAGTTTCATGGAGATAAAAAAAATCACACACACTTCTCACACTTCTCTCTGGAAGTCATTTTTCGAGGAGAAAAACCTATCGATCAACCGTATTTCAATAGTGAACCCATTTTTCGGGCGGATGAAGTCCGTGGTACTTCATCAGGTAGTGCTCTCTCGAGAGCAACTAATCTGGAATCGCTAATCGGAGCTCCCATCACAAATGAGCGAGTCATCTCTGCAGGGAACCGGAGGAAATGAGAAAAAGAATGATGACACGGGAATCGACTGAATCTCGACGGTGAAACTTTTAGTGGCTTCGTCTTCCAGGCGATGTCGCTTTCTGCACTCCAGCAAAACTAGGAAGCGGAGAACGTTTCGTTTCGAGCATGAGTAGGTTTTCGACGTTTTCGTCATCGAAGTTTGCATTCGAGGGACTGGCATGTTCTCTAGAAAGAGATATCGTGGGGCTCGAATGTTTCGTCAATGGACCGAGCTTTGGGCATGGGCCCTTATTAACAGCTATTTACATTGCTCAGCGATTAAGTAGATAATTTTGTATGCTCCTGCATGACTGCGAATGACTCGGGTTCAGTCGTTTCGTCTCAAAAACGTTCATTCGTTTGGAAATGCAAATTTTCACATCCAAATTTTAGGGTTCTAGCTTCTTAGAATCTGGGAGTTTGCTTTTCCACTATCCTGTACGAGGGGCGGTCAAAAAGTTTTGAGAACGGGATATTAAAAATACGGACTGAGTCTCACTTAGTATTTCATTTTCCAATATCGTCACCGCTAATATAAATGCACTTATTCTATTTTTCTTTGAAAGAATCAATTCCCAAGAAAAAAAATTATTGTGACTTCTTCACAAACCATGTCTCCACAGCATCTGTCAATGGTTCATCGTCAGCAAATCGGGTGCCACAGAGGTGAGACTTAAGGTGTCGGAACTGGCAATAGTCACATGGAGCCAGGTCTCGACTATAGTCGGTGGTTCAGCATTTCAAACCCACAGTCACGAATTGCAGCCTGAGCAACGCGAGCTTTTTGAACAGGGGCATTGTCAAGCAAAAGCAAAACAATGCTTGTCAACATTCCTCGCCTTTTAATTTTGATCGTTTGCCTCGATTTCGGAATCAAGTTGGCATAATACTGGCCAGAAATAGTGGTTTTGTTGGGCATGTTGTCGATCGGCAAAAGTCCCTTTGAATCTCGAAAAGTCTTGGCCATGATGATTGCCAGCTGATGGTTGGGTGTGGAAATTCCTTGGAGGAGGTGAGTCTGGGTGCTTCCACTACAGGGACTCAAGCTTGGTTTCTGGGTCCCAGTGGTGAATCCAAGTTTCATCCCCAGTCACTGACAGCATTGCTGAGACGGCACTGAAGAGAGCCAGAAGCTCACGACTAGACTCGATCCGCTGATGGCGATCATGAGCACTAAGGTTTCGGGGGACCCCGTCGAGCAGACGTCTTGGGCATGTTAAATGTTAATGAATAATTTCCAAAACGCTTCCGTGAGAAATTCCGACCTTCTTCTCGATCTCCACCACTTTCATGCGCCGATCGCCCATCACCATCGCCTCGACGCGAGCAACTGTTTCATGATTGACTGCTTCGTTGGGTCGCCCAGACCTTGGGTCATCTTCAACTGACTCACCCCCCATCTTGAACTCACCGAACCATCTCGCCGCTGTCGGGTAACTCGAAGCACCTGCTCCATACACGATCACCATGCGTTCATGAATTTCTTTAGACAAAAACTTCATGACGCTTCGATGCTCGACTTTTTCAATATCCATCATGCATGGAACCTGAGAAAAAATTTAAGCCGTAATTATTGATACAGTATATGACGATCAGAAATATACAAAATCGTACGATTAGTAAATACAGATGAGGCTTTGAAATAAGCCACTCGTTAGATCAGTGCAACCATTTTCAGTACCTTGTTCTCAAAATTTTTGACCACCCCTCGTAATTCAGAAAGGCTGTTCATAAGGCTTATGGGGAAGTTGAAGGAAAAAAATCAAGGTCTTGGTATCTGTTCTTTCTTTCTTGACGTCACTCAAATTTTTTTTGTTAAGAATATTCACTCAATTGGGTCATATAAAATGCGAATAAATAAACATCCTATAGATGCCGATTAAAAAAATAGGCATGGATTCCTCCAGAGATGCCTTTCTCGATCGCTTCATCGAGAAGACTTTCATTGAAATGCGCTCACTTTCCCTTTAAATCCAACAGCCGTTAATTTTTTTAAATGATGGCTGCAGTTGAGCACAATCGCTTCCGATGGAATCGTATCGAATCTGGTCCTTTCCTTTGTCCCACTCGATAAGTCTCGAAGAGGTTAAAGAGACCGCCATAATGTTGCAGAATGAGATAAATTTGAAGGACAAGTAAACAACGCCGTTAAGCAAACACAACGTAAGGAGAGATACGAGATGGGAGCTCAATTGGTTCTTATCTCCCTCACTGCCGTTCTCGAATTTCGTCGCGGCGAAGCTAGGCTCGTAACAAATTTGAAACCGCTCCAGCTCACGACAAAATCACGACCAGCGCACGACCAAATCACAACCGGCTCACGGCAGCGGCACGCGTCTCATCAGGTTGGTGAGTTCAGGGGGGAAAATTTTTTAAAAAATCACATTGATGTGGTATTCGATATCAATTATCTTTTTCTAGGAAAAACGTTTGTTGGGTAGTCTTTGGATGAGGGTATTATGGGGCCTTTTAAATTGTTTTCTTTTAAACGTTTTATTCTATGCTTGATTGAATATCTATTAAACGACATGGCAGATTCGTCAATGGAATTTCAAAATGTTTAAAAATTTTTTCTGAAGATGATACGAAAGCTGCATTTCTATATAATCAATGACGAATTTCAAACCGTGTTTCTCAATGAATGCATTAGCACCGGGCGAATGAAGAACTAAAATTTACTGTAAATAATCTGCAGCAAGCAAATAGTTTGACACGAACAACAAAAAATCTGCATGTTTTATTGGATATTGACACTCCTCATGATGATGTAAAGGGAAGCCCCTTTCCTATGCTCCGTCAGCAAGCGACACCGATGTTGCTCTAAATACTGTTGGGTGTGACATCCCATAGCCCAGTTGTTTGTGGTTGTGACATGCATAAGGCTGCGACTCATGCCACTGAGAATCAATGAGGAACGAGAATCGTCTTTCGCAAACATCCTCATATCCTCGGGAGGGTAGTATTCTGCCACTTATTCAAGCATTGAGACGCATTGCTGAAGTAGGTAATATGCTGCATCTCCCCACTTACATCGTCAACGATGAAGTCTGTAATACCCAAAAAGTTTGTTGCCCATATAATGAATCTTTCGCTCTCGTTCAGACAGATGGCCGCGTTTGTGTGCAATCTGTCCTACGAGGGAGTAGGCAAGAAGGCGTTCCTGAGCAGGAATGCAAATGTATGCGAGGAAGCGAGGAAGCTATTCAAAATCCCTAAAGACAAAGAGGTGCAACTGGAATTGCTTCGCGGTGGAATTTATTCTCCACTCGGAAGTTCTGATGAAATTCCAGACCGAGGAGCCACCATTCGCGTCGTCGCCATCAATAAATCGGATCCCAAGTGAGTCTGCGACTCATTATTTCCATTTTTGTGGGGTTCCCGAGCTATACTCTCAATTGACATAAAAGCTACTCATATTGTAAATTCTCATAGGAGATACGAAGAGGTTTTGGGCCTCTGGGAGGAGGCCACCTTCATTGAAGTGACGGAGGGGCTGAAGATCTACGAGCCGAGGAAGCGGTTGACGATGATCGATGAAAAGAACAAACTGCTTGTTTACCACGTGGGAGAGAGAATGCTTCCGATTAATTCCTATGGCAAGGTCATCATTCTGGCTGGGGCCACCGGAGCAGGTGCGGTTCACATGTTTTCTGTCAAATTTCCTAAGAAACATATTAGAAAAAATCACATGTGTATAATTTTTAAATTTAAGTTTTGTAACACGTCCGCTTTAGAAGAAACGCGCAGAGGCTTTGTAATTCGTGCCCTTCATGGTATTTGAGGAAGATTTGATGAAACCCTCATGTCCCTCTCAGTTTTTCACCAATAGGAGGGCCAGGGATAATACAGGAGAGGGAAGGAGTATGGGGAAGGAGTATGGGGAAGGAGTATGGGGAAGGAGTATGGGGAAGGAGTATGGGTATAGGATGAACAGGGAGCAAGTGGAGGAAGAGGATGGAGGACGGATGGGAGTGTACATGCGCTTTATGGGGGGATATAGATTTTCTGCACCCCAATAAAAAAAATTATTTTGGGATACAAATAAAATTATTTACTTACTGGGTGGTCCTCAGATTGGAAAAATTTACAAATTAATAACTGTTTTATTACTTCAGATAGAAACACGGACAAGTCAATAGCACTTTGTGCCGGCACTCAAATTTTTTATCTCGCCCAGATAATATTCAATCTGTTCAAAATGTCTGCTTCCTACAGTTCTGTTTGTCACTTGGTTCTTGACACACTTCTGAGAAAATTTTGTTATCCATCTGAAGTCCATCATTTTCCAACATGCGCGGCCAGCACCTTACTCGGCTGAAAGTCGTCTTCGAGGTGGCATATGCAAAGGTAAGAGACGGTGAATTTGAATTGCCTACAAAAAGGAATGCATCTGGCATTCACTTCGCTCCCATCAAGAGATGAAACTTTCAGTGCAGTAACGTCTCATGTTGATGTGCTCTTACTACGTCCCTAGTAAAACATAACATTGAATCAACATTAATTCAACGCTGGTTCATCGTCTGGATGTTGAATCAGTGTTGAGTCAATGTTGTTTCAATGGTATGTGCTACTAGGGGTATTACAAAGAAACTCTGGAAGCAGAGCCATCGTGCTCCTTCACATTTCACCTTCGTGTATGCAATCTCTGCGCCCTCTGTCAATAGGTACAAATATGTGCTGGGCAAGGGAGTGAATAAGTCATGGACACAATATCATCTCTGTCAAATATCAGCTGCATCTGACTTTCCCTTGGAAGGCTATAGTCAAAGAAAATAGGGCCGTGACTATAATAATTATGTATCACTGAAAATTGAGAGAGCCAGTTATGAGCCTAAACCTGTTTCTCAGCCACAAGTTTTGGTGCCGTTTGACTTCGTTTAGAGAGTCCTTTCAATGACCAAAGTTTGGTGAAAATCGGAAGTTATCACTTGCGTAGTGTTCCTTGTTAGTTTGAAAGCAATGAAAATCGTTCATAGGGGCTACATGTCCCTGAAAAACGGAAATTTGGCTTAAGTATGGAGCACAACGTTGCCTTACTTCTTCTTTTAGTAAAAAGTAACCAAAGCATCAAAGTAAGTCTCAAAGTACTTTTGGAGATTTGAGTAAAAAAAAAAGTTAAGAATAGACCTCGGTCAGAAAAGTCGTCCCTCCGTGTTTTGGCATGGAATGGCCATGCAACCCTCTTCCGACTTCAGTTTATTTTAAACGAATGAACGAATGATCCATCCCCATTCACGCGAAAGATTATGCTCTTGTACTGGCTTCAGACTTCCTTATGAACGTAATCATAACCTCGGGAATCTAGTTCATTTTGAAGGCTTAAGTGATGCCACTCTCCTTCACATTGAAGGGAAGACATTGCTGGTGAGCACTATGCTCAACTACCTGCTTGGCGTGAATATGGAGGACGTCCAGAGGCTCCGGATGGTGGCACGGGGGACGGAGGAGTGGAAGAGCCAGACGAGAGACGTCACCGCCTACGTCATCAACCCGAGGAAGGAGAACCCCCGATTTAAATACCCAGTCACGATCGTGGACACGCCGGGGTTCGGGGACACTGAGGGACTCGACGGCAACACCTTTTCCATGCTCAAGGCTTTCTTCGACCACAAGGAAGGCATCGACCGGCTCCACTCGGTCGGACTGGTCGTTCCCGCCTCCACCTCCAGGTTGACCGTCGGGCACACCCAGGTCTTCAAACAAATCCAAGGGATCTTCGGGAAGGACGTGAGGGGCAACATCCTGAACGAGTACTGGAAGCGGCTGCAGAGCCTGGGAGGGCGGAACTTCCACCACCTAGCTCGACCGTATGGGATGGTGCCGCACATGGGACAGTTGTTGTCGACGGAGAAGTCGTGCTCTTTTAGCCGTCAGCTCTTCTGGGAGGAAATGATGATGAGCATGAAGAAATATTTCGATATCTTGCTTGATACAGAGCCGGTGAGCACCAAAATGACGTATGAAGTCCTCCAACACCGGGAGATCATCGAGAAGAACATCCAAGAACTACAGGAAAAAGTCTTTGAAGGTCAGACCGACGATACACAAAATATTCTATTTATTTTTATTTCAATGAGGAGCTAAATTTTCTAACGTAGATAGTTCGATTTCTTTAAAAATGAAATGCATTATTGGGTGTCCTACTGAGTATGCCGAATTCGGAAAGAAAGCAATATTTCCCCTAGAAATTTTCACAATTACAGTATATAAGACCACATACGTTCTCGAGTAAAATAATGCATCAAAATATTTGCTAAATGTGGCGTTCGATGAAGCTGGGACTCCCAGAACCTTTTGCAAATTTATAGCCATTTTAACTTGTCATTAGCTAGGATGCACGTCGATTGATGAAATGCAAATACTCATTGGACGAATTGCGGAGAAGTGACTGAAGGAAGCGCATCAAAAGCTATTTCCAATGCCTGCTGATCTCGCATCTTCCCAATGGGGCAATATGACTTCGAGGCAACATGAGTGACATTATGACCTTGAGGCAGCTGCATGGAACTTGGAATTCAAAGAAGGAAACATACCTGGCCAGAACCGCCACGTCTGCCATGTCAATTAAACTGGCATATCTTGAGCAAAAAGAATCTTATCATACTTTCCGTGTTAGATTAAACTTCGAGTGTAAATTGATATTGGCTCACATGGTTTTCCGAATCGAATGATATCCCTCTGTGGTGACAGCCAAAATTGATGGAAAGGAAAGGTATATACTCCGGCTCAGCGTAAATTTATTAAAACTTCCTCAGGAGGATATGGAATCAGGTGGATGCGTCATTCCATGTGAAGTGGCCCAAAGGTGGTTGCTGCACCGACTGGATTTTCTGCTGTTAAAAGTCACGTGTACTGGGGGTTATAAGAAACGGATGAATCCGAAATTTCAGCGGTCTAGGTCCAACAGCCTTTGAGATATGCCCTTCGATAGTTTCAGAGGGAAGGGTAAAATGACCCCTCAAACAAATATAATATCTCCCAAACTACTTCAGCTAGAAATATGAATAATAGCTCATTTCAATGCAAGTAGCCAGGCATCTTCAACTTTCTCTGCTGTTTCTTCCGTGCCTTAATTGGAAAAATGTTACAGCTTATTCATGCAATAATCAACTTTTCAACTTTAAAAAATTCGCTGTAGAAATGCGTATAACTCTACCAGC